AGAAGATATAAAATTAAAAAGTTAGCGAGAATATATTATTCTTCTTGTAATGAAATATATATCAAAATTTGAATGAACAGTTAGAATGTAGGCAACAGAATAAAAAAAAAAGGATCTAAAATGTGAGATGTGCTGAAAGTTTAATTGAGGAGGAAATAATATAGATAAGTTTTAGGTTGCATTATTGCTTCAATTATTTAAGATTCATCAGTATATTCTGTAATATAATCGTATTTGGTTGCCAAAACAATCATAGCTACTTGACGAGAATCATGGGAACAGACTCTCTCATAACAATCATTATTCCTTAAATATTAAGAACATAGATTGATGACCTCATACAAATCAATCCTTGTTTGTTCCTATCTATTGCTCTTCTCTCGCAAAAATCTATACATACTCATTATCATTTTAGTTAATTTTATGTCTTATCAATGCATTTCATTCCTTTTATTTATAACAATCAAACGAAAAAGCATAGAGAAAGACATATCCATGTGTTTGATGAATTGAATTTGATAATGGTTTTTTTTTAATACAAGACTATAGATAAACCGTTAAAGAAATTGGCAAATCAAGACATATCGAAAATCATTAGGTTTCTACATTCCAAAAGGCAATCATTGTATATTACAATATTGAAGTTGTCTCTAGATATTTAGTGAGCAAGAAGATATGTATATTTATTTGCTTTGCTAAAAACATAGTCAAAAGTAATCGTTAATCTCTCATAATAAAATCTCTAATTTTATTGATGATCTTAGAGAGGGTGATTTTGACAGAAATTATGTTGGATAAGTGATAAAGTTTTTAAAGAATCAGAGTGTATGTGAATTTGGTGTTCTAATAAAGTTTGGTACCCTCTAACATGCTCAAGAGTTTAGCAATAATACTTGGATGGCACCTACGATATTTGGAGAAACTCTCAATTCAATTCTCTTGATCGTCACGTATGAGGCCTCCACAAGTAACATCTTTATTAATGTAAGTTAAACTATTGATGTCAAGTTTAACTCAATCTACTTCAAGGTTGGGGTTACATATAGCTTTAGAACTTTCACTTCTCTTACTTAGGAGGTTGTTTGTAGCTAGAGTTTGAGGTCAATAAGAATTTGTTGGGTGGAGCAGAAAGTAAGATCAGTTTCTTGATGATCTTGTTTAGAGAATATTGAATTGCATCTACTTTTCCATATGTTCCAAGAAACTTGAGCAAAGAGTCTTTGCTAAGGCAGTTTTCTTGTTTTTGAGTTCTCACTATTATTTTTTGCATTTTAAATTATTCAATCTTGCATAGGTAGAGAGAAGAAGATGTTAATTTTAGAAGGATTAATAATTTGATAATGGCTTTAAATAAGTAGGCACCAATGCCGTGAGCCATCCTATGGCCCTGATTAATAAGCATTTTTTGTCCAGCTCAATCATTTTCAAACTTCACGAATTAACTAATTAATAACATTGGGTTTTATTAGGGACTACGTCACATCGAAAATTCAAGATGAACTATAGGGACTAGTTTGAAACTTGATGCAATCTATAAGGATTAATGCATTAATTTTCCCTTTGTTAAATACGGCACCGCATAGCCGCATTTGACTGATGTAATGTGTCCCAAGCTCAACTTCATGTTAGGATCCTGATAAGTCATGACCACAATAGAAAAAAAAAACTTGATACTAATAAGTACACCGTTAGGCATCTAGATTTGATGAACTTTCAAGAATTTCACAATATGTATCTTATTTATTATTAACTAACATATCATACATAATTCTTCAGAATCTAAATTTCCTTTTTATTAATAAAAAATCACATAGATTTATACCAGGAAAAAAAAATGAATTTTGGTCGTTCAGTTGAAAATGGAGGTATTACTGTATTAGTGGTAGTTGTGGAATAGTTGTATGCATGGCTTTGTACGAAGTATGAAGCTTGTGGTAAACCATGAAATTCATAATTTGTATACAACTTTATACATATGGATATGGGCATGGGGCTTGTTTTAGCCCTGAAGTTGGTCAAAATAAGAAAAAGGAAGAAAGAAAAAGAGTTGAAGTGGATTCCATTGTCACACTAAAATGTGTGTTGCAACTCTTCTGTGTCACTTTATTTATCACATCAGATATGCTATTTGAGGAAACTGAAGAGTTAAAATAAGCCCTATCCAGATTGCCTACTTACTCAGTTATCAAACACACCAGAAAGAATAATAGAACAGTATTTCCAATGTGTTGAAATGGAAAATTTTGGAAGCACAGAAGTATTTCCTACTAATATAGGCATAACAGACTGGTAACTGAACCTGAATATGCTATTATATATATATATATAAAATAAATATAGGCATTGAGGGTATTCTATGCTCCTAAGCTCGGGAGCAAGGGGTCAAAAGTAAAAGAAGAGTTGAAGTTGATTATACTATCATACTCAACGTGATTGAGAAAGGGTGCATTGCCACACTTCCTGCGTTACTTTATTCGTCATATCAGAGATGCTATTAGAAGACACTTAAGAGTCAAAATAAGCCATTCTCAGAGATTAATGGATTTGCCAACTGGTATCTAGAACACTGCAATGAACAGCTATGAATTTCCAAAAGTATGAAATGGATAATTTTGGAAGGATAGAAGTATCTCCTAGGAATAAATATAGAACAGGCTAGTAACTCAACCCAAAGATACCATAATTGATCTTCTCAAAAGATTTTGCCCATTCCAATCCCACTCCCAATCACCACCAAACACCAACGATGGCAACAAAGAAATTGTCAATTTATTAATGACTTTGCTTTTTGGCAATAAGTTATATAATGACAGTTTTTCTATAAAAAATCCAGAATATAAGTCTAGGTACTCCACTACAATGCCTAACATTCACACTAACAAATACCAGTAACTCAGTGCATCCACATGTCATTTTATGCATGATCCAGAGAAGTTCCTGTCAAAGCAATGAATAGAATTTTTCCTTATATGACAAAAATAATTTTACATTGTATTTTCCTTCTGGAAAAAGGAAAGAAACTAACCTTTGCTTGTTTATCTTTGCTGGCTGTCTAGTCTCCAGAAGCAAAAATTCAAGAATAGTCTCCTGATCAACTAACGAAACAGAATACTAAGTGATGGTACTATAGGGTATGAACAATTCTGGTTCTCTTTGGAAATTTGACAGTCAAACTGCAGACAAGTTGTTCTTTGCTCCAAACTTTCATGCTAGAAGAAGATATATTGAACTTCATTATCACTTCATTCATGAGAAAGTTAGAGAAAAAGAAATCATTCCAGAATTTGTTGCCTCAATATAGCACCTTAAGAGAGTGTTCCCCCCAGCTCACCATCAACGGATCATTAACAACTTGTCTTTGTTTCAAAAAAGAGACATTTTCTCTAGTACATTTTGTCTATAAAATTCATATTTTGGGTTCTAATATATTCTACCTACTATAGTTTGTCTACTGGCTGCAAGTTTCTAAGGGAAACCAACTCTATTTCTCAATCCAAACATATTCCAACATATCCAAGGGTTCCAACAAAGAAGCATTCTAAATAGAACTTTATGATTATTGTTGCTCCCGCGGCTCTTAAAGAGATATAGTTTACCAATATAAGATTTAAGGAGAAAAGCATACTTGTTATGTGTTGGCCGAATGATATACTATATGCGGGAATGAAGTTACAGATCGAACTTGGTTTGTGGACTCACACAAATGCATTTAAAAAGGTAGAGAGAACGAACAAGCCAAGAGAATGAATTTTGAATCACACGTACGTGTACTTGAAAGTTATCTAGCTCTTAAAGCCACCCACTCAGTTGGTTTTTCGATCAGGAATGCGTGATCGATAAACTATTTCCTCCTCTACAATTTTAAATCATTAAAGAAAAATTGCACATTTGACCCAGAATATATTATATTTTCTAAGCTAAATCTTCTCTATATTTCAAAAAAGATCCCATGGGCTCATATTGGACCCAATCCACTAAGAGTGAATTGCCCAACAATTATTACGTTGAAGTATCTTTCAGATAATGGTCATTGTAAGCCTCCAATAAATTTCTCTAAGAATTTCTCCTCCGGAAAATGAACCACCATAACAAAACTTGGAGTCTTCTTAAGTAATTTTTTTTTTGAGATTAGCAGTTGCAATAACCTCCATCGAGGAACCACCCTTTTCTCCGTGCTGAATGTCAAAATCACAGGGTTATTAACCACTTGTGATTTAGGCAACATAATTTTATCCAAGAGTACATGAATTCCAAATTTTAGCCTCTTTTCAGATTGGCAAACCAACCCCGGAGTTCTTCTAAACATTTACATGGTCTTATGCTCAGGAAACCCACAACTCTGAATTGACTCCAACTTGCTGTTGAACTTAACTATGGTCAAATTACAAATTGCCACAAGTGCATGAACTAACATTCTTGAGTTTACGCAGAAACCCATGCTTATAGCCCGTGAAACATTGTTTTGAAATTATAATAAAATAGAATATCTCTTTGAAATTAAAATAATTTAAAAATATATTATAAAATTTAGACCCTTCATATCAAAACCTAAATGGTCTATAATTATAGAAACTAGCATCATTTCTTGTATCGTTTTCATATACAGCATATATTTCCGAAATTAATAGCTTTTTTTTTTTTGCCAGAATAGCCAGTTTAATTATTTGTTTATCTATTTTCACAAATTAAGCAACACATATACACATTGAATTTTAGTTATTCAAATTTATATAATACTCTTTTGGGCCAATAAGATAACAAGGATGTTTGGTTTTTTATGAGTAATGCTTAATAATAATAATTCAATAATTTATTTTAACAAATTAAACTGATAATAGTAATGAAATATATTTTATTATATTTATATGAAGGATATTATAATTATTGCTATTTTTTTATTATCTCATTATTTTCAGCTGATGGAACATAAAATTACCAAACGGGCCCTAAAATGTTCAGCCCTTGACTCACTCGGCTTTAGTTCGGGCCCAGCAGCTTCTTCCCTCTGTTGTTGTAATTTCTTACCCTAAAATCCTCATAGCTTTTCGACATCGTTTTGAAGCTCCGGCGAGTTTTCCTCTCACTTCACTCTCTCACTAGGCTTCTTCCTTCCTTCTCCTCTTCCAGTTCTTTTTGCATCGCTCCATTCTGTTGATTTCTTAGTGCATTGAAAGCAGAAAATGGATGACAGCTTGTATGATGAGTTCGGAAACTATATCGGCCCAGAAATTGAGTCGGACCAAGAAAGTGACAGAGAAGATGAAGATGAAGAGCTTCCAGACAGACCCACCGAGGATGAAGCAGCATCTGACGGTGAGGATGAACCTGGTGCCACCAATGGCTGGATTACCACCTCCAATGACGTTGATATGGATAATCAGGTTGTTCTTGCTGAGGACAAGAAGTACTATCCCACTGCAGAGGAGGTTTATGGGGAAGATGTTGAAACTCTGGTCATGGATGAGGACGAGCAGCCTCTTGAGCAACCAATTATTAAGCCTGTTAGGAATATAAAGTTTGAGGTTGGAGTGAAGGATTCGTCTACCTATGTTTCTTCTCAGTTCCTTCTTGGCCTCATGTCTAATCCTACCCTTGTTAGGAATGTTGCACTTGTGGGACACTTGCAACATGGGAAGACTGTGTTTATGGATATGTTGGTGGAGCAGACCCATCATATGTCTACCTTTGATTCACATAGAGAGAAACACATGAGGTATACAGACACTAGGATTGATGAACAAGAAAGAAAGATATCAATCAAAGCTGTTCCTATGTCACTTGTACTCGAGGACAGCATTGCAAAGTCATATTTGTGTAACATTATGGACACCCCTGGTCATGTCAATTTTTCTGACGAAATGACTGCCGCGCTAAGGCTTGCAGATGGTGCGGTGTTGATTGTGGATGCCGCTGAAGGAGTTATGGTAATTGTTTTATTTAATTGACCAAATTTGCTATCGGAAGCTTGTTAATCTTTAGCAGATGACTGTTTTAAGTTAGTCTATATTGTACCGTATGCGTTTAAACTTTAGGCCAGCAATTCCTGATGCAGAGAAAATTATTACTTTTAAACGATATGTTTGAGTTCTATTAGACTCCCCCCACCTGGCTCCCTTCATTTTTTTTTTTTTTTACTTCTTGAAATTGTACATTAGACTAGTAGAGCTATCTCATCTGTGGTTTTATCTCTGTAAGCACAATAGAACTTGAGAATATGGACTTCTGTTGTACATGTAGGTCAACACAGAGAGGGCCATACGTCATGCCATCCAAGATCGCCTGCCTATTGTTGTTGTCATCAATAAGGTAAACTAGTCTTTATCATATATCAATGGGGATTTTAAGTCTTACTCTAAGGTTTTCTATCCTTCTTATTTGTTATTTGTCTTTTTAGGTTGACAGGCTAATAACTGAACTTAAATTGCCCCCAAAAGATGCTTATCATAAAATCAGGCATACTTTGGAAGTGATCAACAATCACATGTCTGCTGCTTCTTCAACTGCTGGCAATGTACAAGTTATAGATCCAGCTGCTGGAAATGTTTGTTTTGCAAGTGCTACTGCTGGATGGTCTTTTACTCTGCAGTCATTTGCTAAACTATATGGGAAGCTGCATGGAATTCCTCTGGATGCTAATAAATTTGCTTCTCGTCTTTGGGGGGATTTTTATTATCATCCAGATACCAGAACTTTCAGAAAGAAACCACCTACTAGTGGAGGGGAACGATCTTTTGTAGAGTTTGTGCTTGAACCCCTTTACAAGATATATAGCCAGGTGATTGGAGAACATAAAAAGAGTGTGGAGACAACTCTTGCAGAACTTGGAGTTACTCTAAGCAATGCAGCCTATAGATTAAATGTCAGACCTTTGCTGAGGCTAGCCTGCAGTTCAGTTTTTGGTCCAGCCACTGGTTTTACTGATATGCTTGTTCAGCATATACCTTCACCAAAAGAGGCTGCAATCAGGAAGGTTGATCATATATATACTGGGCCAAAAGATTCTACCATTTACAGGGCCATGGCACAGTGTGATCCTTCTGGGCCCCTAATGGTTAATGTGACTAAACTGTATCCAAAGTCTGATTGTAGCGTGTTTGATGCCTTCGGTAGAGTTTATAGTGGCAAGATACAAACAGGGCAGAGTGTACGCGTTCTGGGAGAAGGCTACTCACCAGATGATGAGGAGGATATGACTGTTAAAGAAGTAACAAAATTATGGGTGTATCAAGCTCGAGATAGGATGCCAATAGCTGAGGCTCCTCCTGGTTCCTGGGTTCTTATTGAAGGTGTAGATGCTTCGATCATGAAAACTGCCACTCTTTGTAATGTGGATTATGATGAAGATGTATATATATTCAGACCACTTCAGTTCAATACTCTGTCAGTGGTGAAAACAGCTACCGAGCCATTAAATCCAAGTGAATTGCCAAAAATGGTGGAGGGCCTGAGAAAAATCAGTAAGAGTTATCCCTTAGCAGTTACTAAAGTTGAGGAGTCTGGGGAACACACTGTGTTAGGCACTGGTGAGCTCTACTTGGATTCAATTATGAAGGACCTGAGAGAGTTGTATTCTGAAGTAGAAGTCAAGGTCATCTGTTTAGTGTTTACCCATTTTCAATTCCCCTATTGTTCTCTATATTGGCTAAAGAAATGATTTTTGGAGCTATTATTTTTGTTGAAGTTTGTTCTTTGCTTGGCTATTTAGGTTGCTGATCCTGTTGTCTCATTCTGTGAAACTGTCGTTGAATCTTCATCAATGAAATGTTTTGCTGAAACTCCTAACAAGAAGAATAAAATAACTATGGTAGGCAGCTACATGATTTTGGTGTTGGTTTTCATCAAGAATACTATATTGCTGGACTTTGCTCTAGCTAACTTCATTTGTTTTTTAGATTGCAGAGCCCTTGGAAAGAGGTCTTGCTGAAGACATAGAGAATGGAGTTGTTAGTACTGACTGGAACAGAAAAAAGCTAGGTGAATTTTTTCAGACAAAGTACGACTGGGATCTCCTAGCTGCACGGTCAATCTGGGCATTTGGCCCTGACAAGCAGGTAAAATTTCTGTCTGTCTGTCTTTGTGGTTTTGTGTCTCTGTGCTTTCGTGCTTTTGTATTTTTGGGGCATATCCATGTGGATATATAGGTACAGAGATCAATGCTTACGGATAATGTTGGATTTCATTTCGTAGTTATCTCTAATGTCTGTTCCCTGTTTGCTGTCTTGCTTATTTGTTACTGTATAATTAGATGTAATTGTTTTTTATGTCCCTGAACTTTTGTGGTAACGTGTGTGAATATCATCTAGGGTCCCAATATCCTCTTAGATGACACACTTCCTACTGAAGTTGACAAGAACCTACTAAATGCTGTGAAGGATTCCATTGTTCAGGGGTATGCAAAATGGTGTGATATTTAGCTATTCATTGGTTGGTTAGTTGCACATTGATTTATGTTATTTCTTTTACAGATTTCAATGGGGTGCACGAGAGGGACCTTTGTGTGATGAGCCTATTAGAAATGTTAAGTTTAAGATAGTTGATGCAAGAATTGCCCCTGAACCACTCCATCGTGGATCTGGCCAGATCATTCCAACAGCAAGACGAGTGGCCTATTCATCTTTCCTTATGGCCACACCTAGGCTTATGGAACCTGTATACTATGTGGAGGTAAATGTTATTTTGGCTGAACTCTTATGATGTTTGCATGAAATGTGATTGTTAAGGCTCTACTCAGATTCTTAGCTGAGGACCTAGGGCATAGGATTCAGGATCAGATGACTGGATCCCCATGCCTTTGGGGGCTTGGGGCTCATCTCTTTGATTTAAATGGTCGTCTGATTCAACTTTTCTGTCCTCTAACTCTAAGCCTAAAAGTATGATCATAATTGTATGAGACATATATTATTTTATAGAAGGAAATACAACAATTTCGGTGCTTGTCACTGATTAATAATTTTCTGGACAGTAATGAGTATTGGATATGATTCCTTGTGTGGGATGTTGGAATTTGTATGATGGCATGTTAAAGTTATTCTTCTGGCTGTTTCTTCAGATCCAAACACCGATAGACTGTGTTTCTGCAATCTACACAGTGCTATCCCGCAGACGTGGACATGTCACAGCTGATGTTCCTCAACCAGGCACACCAGCTTATATTGTCAAGGTTGGTGGGGAGTTTTTGTGTTCAATCTGTTCGCATAGAAATTGCTTGTTTATAATCACCACAAGGTTTTGGATATGCTAAATTTGGCATTTGGCATCTGAAACGTGGATTATTGACTTCTTCCCACCTTGCATCTCAGGCATTTTTGCCCGTCATAGAGTCTTTTGGATTTGAGACAGATTTGAGATACCACACACAAGGTCAAGCATTTTGCCTCTCAGTTTTTGATCATTGGGCTATTGTTCCTGGAGACCCTCTGGACAAGAGCATTGTTTTACGTCCACTTGAACCAGCACCAATCCAGCATCTTGCCCGTGAGTTTATGGTGAAAACAAGGCGTAGAAAGGTATAGTGCTTTTCTCCTTCTTTGCATCATTCACCGGTAATTTCTGAATATTTTTAGTTGCATGATAGTGATCTTTCCTTGTATGAATATCCTTTTTCTTCCAAAAGGGAAAAATGGCTGCAGGATTCTGCTTCTATAATCTGTATATTGTTTGCTCTGTTTATCTTTACTTGTCTCATAATTCTCGTCTTGAATATGTTTTACTTAGAGTTACCAATTGTTAGGCGAGGGAATTAAACAAAGATATATGCCATTTTGTGCTTCTGTAAAGCGATACAGTATTATATATTTATATGACATGCAAAATTTGAGGGAACGTGTGAATTATTCAAATGTGAAATATTGGAGAAGGAACATCTATTAATTTATATTATTGGTGCATTCAAATCTGTCAGGGAATGAGTGAGGATGTTAGCATCAGCAAATTCTTTGATGAGGCTATGATGGTGGAACTGGCACAGCAGGCTGCAGATCTTCATCAACAAATGATATGATTCTACCAAAATTCGAAGTTCTTTGTAGCATTTGATGTTTTTGTTCTAATTTTGACATAGCCATATAACATCCCGTAGGCAACCTCACATGTCACTGTAGTGTCCACATTTATCTTCTTCCCACCTGGAAAAATGGAAAGGTAAAGCCTTTTGTGCTTGAACCCTTGAACGAAAGAGTGGTTGGCAAGGATATTGTAACATATTGTTTTGTCCCTGTGAAATAGTGGATGATTGCAATTTCCATTGGCTGATACAATTTATATTTTAGTCATTTTCTTTTGACAAAATAACAGTCCCAGTCTTGCAACGAAATTTTTTTAGATTGTGTTTGGATGTATATGAATTTGGATTTAGGTCAAATCTTTTGACTGGGCACTTAAAAATTTGTGATTGGATTTTATCCAAGTCCAAAATTTGTCTTTCTTTTTTAATAATTTCAAATACTTTCTAAACCTCTATTATTTAAAATCTCTGAGAGTCTCTCTTCATGTTCTCATCTTTGCGTTATTGTTCACGGTCATTGCCTCCATTCTCTTCTCTTGCACAAGTGAGTCCAATATTCCGCATCCCTTTTCTTGTGTCAGTTTTCTTTGCTCATCAATGGCCTTTGCCTAATTGGTACACTTTTCCCTTTTGCTTAATATGTACCGCGAATCCTTCTAGATTCCGTCTGAGAGTGCTTCTTGTTATCTATCTTTGTTGAGTCTGAATTAGCTTTTTTGTTTAAAACGTAGTCACCTTGAGATGGTAGAAATATCTTGGTACTTGCGGATCTAAAACCATGGTTTGCTTTTTCTCACATCTGAAGGATGAACAAACGATTAGCAAAACAACAATATTGAGATTTAGGGTCTGTTTGGAAATTTATTATGAGAGCAATTTTTTGTTTTTTAGAATAAGAGAATAAAAAAATCTGTTTGGTAATGTTTTCCAAAAAATATTTTTGAAAGAAAATAAAATATTATTTTGAAGAATAGAAAAATGAAAATAATTTTTAAGTATTTTGTGATTATTATTTTAGAGAATAAGAGAGAATAAAAAAAATAATTTATTTTTATTATTTTTTTATTTTTAGAATATGTTCTACAAAATATTAATTTTTAAAATAATAAAATAAAAATAATTTTAAATAGTCCCTTATATTCATGGTTTCTCCAGCATTATCCTTGAGTTAACTGCCGGATGGGAATTGGGATTTGGGACATATATGTCATAACTTTATGTGGAGAATATATCATGCGAGAACTCTAACTATTTTGGACAGTTATGGATGGTGTGTTGGCTTTAAATGCTTTTGTAAGTGTGATGCATTTCATGAGAAGGTTCATGGTACAGAGGAAAAACTTGTAAAAAATTAAGTGAGAATGACAGATAGATTTTAAGGAGATTAATCAATTCAAATTAGGTCTTAATCAATTTTAAAATGTCAAATGTTAAATATTTGCAAATTTGACTTTCAATTGTGCAATTTCATTATAATAAATTTACAACTTATGTTTTAAATTTTAATATGAAAAATAAATTTATTTACTTTTCAACAATTAAAATTCTAAAAATAAATTACAAATTCATTAAAATAAAGTTGTAAAATTAAAAATTAAATTTACAAATATCTGAAGTTTGACACTTCAAAATTAATTATGACTTAATTTAAATTAATTAATTCTCTTAAGACCTATCCGTCGTTCTCCCAAGAATTAATGAATTGATAGAACTTATTACTACTTGCCAACCAGCTTCAATGGTGTTGAGATCTTGCCCCAAAGAAACCATAAATGACCCAAATTTAAGGCAAACTGAAATCATATTGATTTGTCACCCATGGTACCCATTCGCTTACGCTTGCTTTTGCTCCGTAATACTTGTCACCACTCACAAATCCTGCTGCTTGCTGGACCAATTGGTTCGCGGGTGTGATTTGATGATGAAGACTGTTTTGTAAAATCATAAGAGAAAAAGACAGTTTCTGAAGTTCTTGTTTTGGAGTAATGGAAAGCATTTGCAGAGGAATTCTGAAACTCTGTGGCCATCACTGTAACATATAAGGAAGAGGAATAAATAATGGATGGTGTTTGGTGGTCAGATTTGTGGTTATGGATTTAATTGTATAATGAGAATGGGAGTCAAATGGCAAAGTTCTGTCATATTTTTTTATCTGTTCTAGTTAAATACTTGACTATGTCAGAGAAGAGAAAAAGAAAATTCTTGGTCATACGAGTCAACTTCAATAGCTTTGTTTTTGTTTGTGGAGGCATTTTCTTTGACACAATTCAACTCCTTAGGATCATAATCATTGTAGTCAGACTGGAAGCTATCTGCATTAGGGTTACTATTTTTCTCTCAGTCATTGACATAGGAGTCAGTTATAAGAACTAAAGCATTGCATTGTAATGAATCATGTATGTTCTCAATGAATAAATATCTAGTTAAACCAATATCTAGTTAAACCAATGCTTCTCCGCAAATTGGTGTGAATGTCCATAACATCCAACTTTTCACATTCTATCCTTGAATGACATTTTACCCAATAACCTCCTAATTGAAAGGTTTCTAGTATTGATGTTAGAAGCTCCAATTATATAATTATATTGTTTAATTCTCATCTTTATGAACTTGTAACTCTTGGGATTAGTTTTCAATATTTAAGCCCTATAAATAGAGACGTTGTACACACATTTATGATAATCTAAATGAATAGGAATCCCTCATCATTTACTCTCCAATTCTTTTTTGTATTCTTCATTTCTTTTGTAACATCTGGGAATTTAATCATGGTTAATCAGCTTAATAAGTAATATGAGCGAATTGATGAAGTGTGTAGCCAGAGGTGTCTAAATATTTGACTTTGATTTCAGCCCAAGATGTAGGTTTGGATTAACGGCGGGGCACCCAGACAAGGAAAGAGAAAGAAAAAGTAAGGAAAGCCCTCCGTGTCACATGCCACAGCATGTGGGCAATTTGCTATGGCGCACAGAGGTAGATTTACGTGTGTTAGGCCTCTCTATGCCATGCGTTGCGGCGGGAGGCTACGTGTACTAAGGCTAGTGATTTTAAAATCGGATTGGACTGGACAGTTAGACTGGTTCAATCGTCAACTAGTCCTGATTCCGGTTTGGTCAATATATAAAAATTGTTTTATAGGTTGAGCCTGGTTAGCTCGTTTCAAACCGGCAGTCGGATTGAGAATCAAAATCAAGTCAGGAATCGGATCTAATTTTCAAGAACTGGACTATTAAAAAAAACTTTTTTTTAATTTTTTTTTAAAAAATGACCAATTTTTTTAATCATTTGATGTTATGTTGTATTATGTGGCTTGTTAAGTCATGATAAACTTAACATATTTGATTTTTTTTAGTCAAGTAGCAATTTCATATTTATTTCTTATATTTAGATTATTATATATATATATAATTTATTTTATATATATATATATATATAATTTTTTAATTTAATTATTACGTCATTGATTTGACCATCGATTTAACTTGGTTGAATCATATAAATTGCGAATTGCTAACCTTTTTGGTTTAATATCCGATCCAGTTCTAAAAACATTGGCTACAGCGCATGGCCAAAAATTAGATAAATTTGGTTCATGTTTGCGTGCAAAATTAGAGGAGGAGGAAGGAGAAAACATAAAGGCACATCTAAGGCTTTGCTAGGGTACAACATTGTTTTCCATTTGTGATATTTAGAGGCTTTCAAACACCCATGGTAAGTAAATTATACCCTCATCTTCCTTTCTCTACCATTTTTATGAAGGTTTGAGTTAGAGTTTAAGTTGAGAGATTGAATTTCAGTCCATAAGAGCTATGGGTTTGAACCTATTGACTAAAATGGATATAATGGGAGTGGTTTAGAGTATTTAAGCCCTACATTAATGATGTTGTGTATGGTTAGTTGGGTGGAGTAATTAATATCCAAAAATTACAATAAATGAGGATATTGGTAATGTTTATGGCTCATTAATGGTGGTTTAATGGCTCAATGATGATAATGTGAGTTAATGAACTAGATAATGTGTTGGACATGAATGGATAGTGATTATGTGATTGAATAAATAGATAATGTGAATTTATGATATTGAAATTTATTATAAATAGGATAATGATAATATTCTTGTGTTATAATTGTAATGTGGCTTATATTAACACCATTTGAGCTTGTGTGAAACTTTAGAAGTTAGTATTTAAAGGGGTAAACATTTGACTTCTTAAATATTTGAGGTAACTGGAGGAAACCTAGCTTATATAGTTGAATATTAATTGTTTATTTGTTTAGAAATGGTTGATTTGAATCATGGTTGATATTTTTAACTATTGATGCAATGCTTAGCAAAATGATGAACGTGTGAATTATGGCATGATTTTGAAAATAGAAACCTTTAGAAAGCCATCTCTTTGAAATTAATGATTTGATAAATGGCTAATCATTATAAAATTCTTGAAAATGTGATAGTTGGTATGTGGAGTGAGTTGGGTATGTGAGTGGATTTGTGAGCTTATATGATGTGTTTGGTTATTTGAATGCATAAACATGTGAGTTATATATAGCATGATCATTCACAGGAGTTCATCTAGAGAGAGGAGTAGATGGTTAAATCCATATGGTATTGGTAGTGACATTTGAAATTGAGAGGTAGTCTGTGTCCCATGGTTGATTCAGGACTGTCCCACTTGTTCTACGAGGGACTTAAACCTAACTAGTCTCCACCGGTTCATGAGGACCCTAGATTAAAGGTACGACATCCTATGGTTGTTAGTATTGAAAAAAACTGAATTACACAAGCGAGTGAGTTAACCTTAGCTTGGTATCTCCTTATAAGTGAAAGGTAAGGTTAGTCCATGAAGGACGTAGCCATCGATTTCATGTCAGAGGTAATAGGGGGATATAAGGCTAACATTTGATCATGCATTTAAATCCGACCATATAGTTGTTATTATTATGATTCGGTATGTGTTAGGGGTGTATGGCTAGTATTATTGTGACCTCCTCATGTGCATTATCATTTATGTGGTTATATATGTGTTAGGCCTGGTCACATAGTTATTAGTATTGTGAACCATAGTCAAGTTCATCATATGTGTTATAATTGTGTGTTTTTGCCTAATTGCATTTGTTTTCAATTGATATGCAGCTGTTTAAATTAGGTGAAACTTGATTATTGAGTGGTTGTACTAACCCCTCGATTCTCAATATTTTTAAGATCTAGCTTATCAAATCCGGTTTGAGGAAAGCATACT